TCCGCACCTCAGTCACCGCACTCCGCACCTCAGTCACCGCACTCCGCCCCTCAGTCACCGCACTCCGCACCTCAGTCACCGCACTCCGCCCCTCAGTCACCGCACTCCTCACCTCAGTCACCGCACGCCGCCCCTCAGTCACCGCACTCCTCATGAAGGAAAGGATCTGTGTGCAATTCGGCACCTGTTTCCGCACTCGTATGACACGTCCATGAAATATTCCTGACAAGGCGCCTTTCCTCACACTGCAGGACAGAATAAATCTCATGCTCCCTCATCATGAAGCAAGCAGTCCTCGGTGTCTACTTGATGTCAAAATACAAAATATGCAAACGAAAATTTTAGCTAAGGGGGCCTCCTTAACTACCCTTTATTATGCACATTTTACAAATATTTATTGAATGGAACGTTAAACCACATGTGATTGGGCAATGTGACAGCCGCCTTCTTCCATAGCTCTGCCCATATCAGCACCAGTGTCTGTTAAAAAAAAGCCTTTGGACCATGACAGGAAAAGTCATCATTGCTGGATAAGCTGACATCATCGCCGGCTGAGGAATCCCCACTGGGGGTCGGGTGATGCTAGTACAAGGCCAGGCGTGCCGGGGGTCATGCATGAACCAGTGTTAGCATTTTTCCCATAGAAATGAATGAGCGGTCCCCATAAAGATATGTTTACCCAACATGTGCGTGTGTGTGTGTGTGCATGCGTGTGTGTGTGTGCGTGCTGCAGGAATGACTGTACCTACGGCTGAGATAAGCATACTGAGATATGGACACAAAATAAAGGAGAGAAGAAAGACTGATGGACAGGGTGAAGAGAGATGGGGTGCGTTGGGGGGGGGGGCATCTGGCTGATCATAAGGAGGAAAAGATGGACGAAAAGCATTAGCTGTTGAAAATGGTGTGGGGGGAGAAGTGGGGGGGTAACTTGCAGGAATTTCCAGTGAGTAGGAACTGGAACAAACGTCTGAAAACTGAAGAGTCACAGACATCCAGTCACGGGGCAGCCGGTCAAAGCAAGTGGGGGCAGTGAGCAGGGGTAGGGAGTGGAGGCAGCGAGCGGAGGCAGCGAGCGAGGGCAGCGATCAGAGGCAGTGAGGAGGGGCAGTGAGCGGAGGCAGCGAGCGAGGGCAGTGATCAGAGGCAGTGAGCGGAGGCAGCGAGCGAGGGCAGTGATCAGAGGCAGTGAGCGGAGGCAGCGAGCGAGGGCAGCGATCAGAGGCAGTAAGCAGGGGCAGCGAGCGAGGGCAGCGATCAGAAGAAGTGAGCAGGGGCAGCGAGCGGAGGCAGCGAGCGAGGGCAGCGATCAGAGGCAGTGAGCAGGGGCAGTGAGCGGTCAGCGGGAGACAGTGGTTCAGCAGCTCAGCAGAAGTATGTCTCAGCATTAATATGGGTGCTATGCAACTCAAATATCCCCCATGGGCTCATCAAGTTGTCCAATCTGAGGCCTGTGAGATGCGCCTCCAAACCACAGATGCGTCTCACAGGAGC